TAATGCCACTAGGACCAGCTTGAGAGTCACTGGACCTCTGTCGCACAACATATCTGTCCATAGAGGATTGTACCTCCCGTTCCTTTATGACATTCCTAAAGTGTTTCACAACATTGTCCGTGTCACAATTAAACACTTGTTCAGGTTTCAATTCTTCACTGTCTATGTACTCCTTGAATTCCTGCACATATTTTTCAGCTGGTTTTTGGTCCAAACTGGCAGCCTCACCATGCCTTATCATGCTATGTATGCCACTATGATTCTTAAATCTCTCAAACCAACCTTTGCGGGCCCTTTAAAATTAAATCACATCCCACTAGTTGCTGGGCTTTTCTAATTAAATCCTCAGGGCAACTTCCTAGCCTTTTCACATATGATCGCTTGAGAGATGCTATCTCCTGCTCTCTGTTTTTCGTTTATCCACACCAATAACAGTCTCTCAACATCATCTATCACTTGCGATCTCAGTTTCGAAAACATAGTTGACCTTTGGAAAGAACAGTTTTCCTTGATTGCCGTTTTCTTGGCCACAATGTAGCAATGGTTGATTGGGGTTTTGTGTACAACTGGCCAGCTAAAGAGACACGCATTCCACTTTCATACTTAGCAATGATCTCTTTCTTCATATCCATAGTAATTCTCACCCTTTTTGCTGTAGGGTTGGCACTAGAAGCTTCTTGGGGCCCATGGTGACTTATTTTGCAGGTGCAATCACTAAAAAGGCTGTGATAATATGAAATGTTCCGATTGTATGCTTGGAAGCGACCGCTGTGGCTGGCTGGCTTGTAAACACTGGCCAGAAGTGGACGCATCTCAGACGGAACAAATAGTGCTGGTAGAGTTTTTTAGCGCTAGTCGAGGCAAAATTTTTGCGTTAAAATGTATCGCTGGTCGAATTTATCGTTAATCGATGCCATCGTTGGTCGAGGGTCCACGGTAGTATACTCCTCACTTAGCAACAAATTCATTTACCGATGTGGTCTTAGGAACGGAACTCCATCGTTAAGTGAGGAGAGGCTGTATACAATTGTTTACTGATAATTATTTTAATGGAAGTCATAGGATATATATATTGGTACATAAAAGGCTTATATAATTATTTATGTACTTTAAATATTCATTATGATAATGGATTACCCAGTAATCATAGTAATGTAGGTTGCATGCATAAAATGAATTTAGCAGAAATTGATAATTATATAACCAAGCACATCCTAAACTACTACCTGATAAAGCAAAAATTATTTGGGTTTTAACAAAGGCTATCAGTGCCCTAATATATAACTTAAGTATCTACCTAGAGTCTACTTAGATAGATACTCATATACAACAGGTTAGGTTCCGTACTACTGCTATAAAGTGAAACGTAGCCTTTTTTCACTTTCAAATGCATATAAAAGCCTGATAACATGTTTACATTATCATATATTTAGTGAGCAAATGAGCTAGTCTTAATAAATGCATATACAGTACACTTATTACACACCTTAAAATATTTTCATCCCTAACTGATAGTGAGTGGTGAATACATATATTTATTGTAGGAAGTCTGAATAAATGAAGATGGGTTATAACTGAAAACTGCAGCATTAGCAAAATGCTTTAACCCTTTCAGGGTTTCGGCCGTACTAGTACGGCTTACGTGCCAGGGTTTTTGATGTACTAGTACGCATAAATTCTAGCGCCTTCAAATCTCGTGGGAAAAGGCTGGTAGGCCTAGATGTGAGAGAATGGGTGTGTGGTCGGTGTGCGCAGTAGAAAAAAATCTGGGACCCAGTGGCGCATTGTAGGAACACCATTTTAGTAGACCTTGTTTACCATGCCTCACGGTAAGAAGCTCCTTACTCCTCGGCGAATTGGGATACTTTTTGTTCCCCAGTGACAGTTCTAATACAGATGGAAGTGCCAGTGAAGATGAGTTTCAAGGTTTTGGTGAGGTTTTGACTGAAACTAATGACCACAATATCGGTAATAGTGAGGAAAACCCAGACCCTCAGCCTTCCACCTTTGCTGCTGGGCCGTCTTGTTCACGTTCAGTTGTACCAGAATCAAAGAGGAAACTCCTATTTTCCCCAAAATCCCAGACTCAAATGTGAGCATTGGTGATGGATAGTGATAGTGAATATTTAAAAAAAAAAGCTCTTGAAAACACTTCCAGTAGCGATAATGGAGTGGAATATTCTCCAGTGAAGCGTCAGTATGTACGACGATATATGCGCTCTGGTAGTGTGCCATATACTATTCCAAGGGAAAGAAGTACATCTCAGAGTACATCCCGTGGCTGTACAACAGGAACAGACCTTGAAAATGACGATGATAGTGTTGCAATTGGGATGGAAAATGTGCATGGTGGTGTTGCCGGCCGTGAGGCACCAGCAGTGGGCCATGCTGCCACCCACGCTGCTGCCTCAGCTGATCTACAACAAAGGCCACCATCCCCCACCCACCCACCACACCAGCCTCCACAACCACAATCTCCACAACCACAACCTCCACAACCACAACCACCTGTCAATGTCCAGTACCCACCAGCAGACCGCACCTGGGATTGGCAGGAAGCTGTCAATTTTGTTCCAAATCCCCACCAGTTTGATGAAAGCTAAAGTGGAATATAGTCATGTTGTACACTGGGGAACAATGCCACTGAACTGGAATGTTTCGAGTTATTCTTTGACGAACCCCTGATGGAAATTATTGTCAGGGAAAGCAACAGATACTTCGAGTACACCATGGCAAACACAATATTTTCACCAAGCTCATGGCTATACAAGTGGAAGGAGACAACTGTGGCTGAGATGTATCTTTTCTTTGCCACAATAATGCTTATGCCACATGTGTATAAGCACAGTGTGAAATCATACTGGTCAACAGACTGCCTGATTGCAACCCCAGGTTTCAGTGATATAATGGGAGTGAATCGATTTGTGCTACTATTACGTATGCTTCACTTCTCAGACAAAACCAGGCCTGACAGAAACGACAGGTTATATATGATTAGGAATGTGTTTGTGTATTTGAAAGAAATTCAGTATGTATTTTTATCCCTTCAGGAAGCTTGTAATTGAAGAGTCTTTGATTCTGTTCAAAGGAAGACTCTCTTTCAAGCAGTACATACCAAGCAAGAGGAAACGCTTTGGTATAAAGTTGTTTGTGCTTTGTGATTGTTACAGTGGTCTGGTATTGGATATTATTGTGTACACTGGAAGTTATACATTGCAAAATACCAGGAAGTTATTGGGCATCTCTGGTGATGTGGTTAGAACAATGATAGAACCATACCTTGGTAAGGGGCATATATACTGATAACTGGTACACAAGCCCCTCACTCAGTGATTTTTTGCGAGTGAACATGACAGATGTGTGTGGCACAGTGCGTGCAAATCTTAAACACTTGCCCAGGTTTGATGCTGGCACTCGTAGATGTCACACTGTTGTCATCAGTTCACCCTAACGAAATGACAAACACTGGCAGGCAGCATAGAGAGAGCAATGAACCCATTCTAAAACCTGCAGCTGTGATTGATTACACCCTCAATATGCTCTCAGTGGACAAACGTGACATGCAGAATGGGTTTGCTGATTGTGTTCGCAAGAGTTATAAGTGGTACATAAAACTCTTTTTCCATCTTCTGGACATTTCCATGCTCAATGCTTATAATATGTATAAGATGAGGACCAGAAACAAACTATCGTATGGCAAATTCTGTTTGTCTGTCATCAGACAAATAGCATTCAAGTACCAAGGAACAACACCTGCAATAAACCGCCCACTAAATTATCAACAACTACCTTCTCGTCTGAAGCATGGTGATCACTTTCTAGTTAAACTGCCTGCTGCTGCTTTCAAGAAAAAGGCTCAGAAGAGGTGTTACGTCTGTGCACATACAAAAAAAACGCCCACAACAACGCAGAGACTCTCATTTTATGTGTTAGGAGCGTAAAACACCACTGTGCATGACACCATGTTTCAAAGACTTCCACAGGCTGCAGAACTTCTAGAAACATTCCCTGTGACTGTATATGTGTATATAAAATATAGAAATAGTAATAAACAACATTTTATATCATTTGTGTGTGTAAACAACAATTATAAACAATACAAGGACAACAGTGTTTGTGCAGTTATTGTGTAGTAAATAAAAAGAAAAAACTTATAAAATAGTGCTCATATTGGTCTCACAGGCCATAAAAGTTACTTGGAAAAAAAAAAATAAAAAATAATAGAAAATAGTACCTAAAAAATAAAGTAATACAGGGTGATGGCAGTCGGCAATGTTACCATATATGGGCATTTTCAGTCAACTTCATGCCTGGTTATCTCGGTAAGTATTAATGGTAAAAATTTTTTGTTTAGCCTATAATGTTTAGGAAAAAAAGTATCTTTTCATAAGAAAAAATTTTTTTTTTTTTTTTTTTTAAATTTTGGCGACCCTGAGAACAAGTCTCTGAGAGGCCTGGGGACCCTGAAAGGGTTAATTAACTTGCATTTGAAGATTTTATTCAGATTATTTGCCCTGAGGATTAGAAACTCAGAATAACCTGATAAAGCCCTTACAGCCTCTCCTCACTTAGTGACATACTTGTTTACCGACGACTTGGACTTACGACGGGCTCTCTGATCAGTATGCATACCTAAATATTAGAGCTGATTTCCTCTATTCTGTTTATAAACATTTAAAAATATACTAGAAATGTTATAAATGGTACAAAGGTGACATTAAAACAATATCAGAGATGGTTGACATAAACCCACTACCATTATGGTATGCTCCTTACTTAGTGACGAATTCATTTACCAACATGGTCATAGGAACGGAACTCTGTTATTAAGTGAGGAGAGGCTGTATATTTAGCTTTTTTGGGGTCCTTTGATCTTTTTCCCTAGGATTTGATCTATATCGGTCAGCAAACACTCTACCTATGTGCTGCTAAGGTGAACAGAGACAAAAGGAAAAGGAATTTAGAGAATGTACAGTAATGGTTTTCTTTTTACCACACAGAAACAAAAATGGTGCCAGACAGCAAAATAGAGGCCATTGGACGGGTGTTGAAAGATCAGAATCGTCCACTGAAGGAACGCTTCCGTGCCCTCTTCACTTTGAAGAATCTTGGTGGAGAATGTGCCATTGCTTCTATATCACAGTGTTTTACTGATCCTTCTGTGCTCCTAAAACATGAACTAGCTTACTGCCTTGGACAAATGCGAGATACTCGAGCTATCCCTAAACTGTAGAAATATTAAAAGACGTTGAACAGGAGCCCATGGTGCGTCATGAAGCTGGAGAGGCACTTGGAGCTATAGGAGACCCAACAGTTTTAGATCTCTTAAGAAGTTACAGTAAGGATCCAGTTACTGAAGTAGCAGAGACTTGCCAGCTTGCAGTAGGCAGAATAGAATGGTTGCAAAGTGAATCAAGTAAAGTTGAAAAGTTTGATGGTGCTGATCAGTTTTTCTCTATTGATCCTGCACCACCTGCAATGGAGACCAATGTTGATAAATTGAGAGAGATGTTAGTTGATGAATCCCTTCCTCTTTTTGATAGGTATCGTGCTATGTTTTCTCTTCGCAATTTAAACACCCAGGAGAGTGCAAAAGCTCTTGCTATGGGATTTAAATGTAACAGTGCCCTCTTTCGCCATGAAATTGGATATGTATTGGGTCAAATGTCCAATGATATTGTAGTAGAAGAGTTAGCAGCTGTTGTGCAAGATGAAAAAGAAAATGAAATGGTGCGACATGAAGCTGCTGAGGCTCTTGGTTCAATATCTACAGAAGCAGCAGTGGCAGTACTTAAAGAATATCTTGGAGACAAAGCTAGGGTTGTAAGGGAGAGTTGTGAGGTAGCATTAGATATGTCTGAGTATGAAAATAGCTCAGAATTTCAATATGCTGATGGACTGCTTAAGGTAGAGCAGAATGAAAATGAAATGACTGGATAGTCTTGAAATAAAGATGGTAGGTTGCAATTCTGCCTTTAATTTTCCTTTGTGACTACATTTCCATTGTTGCCTTTGTGGTTAAATGCACACAGCCCCCTGAAGGTCTCTTTTTGGGACAAAAGGGTCCTTAATTTGAAAAATTCAATCTTATCCCCTTCTGACTGAATCTAAATACCCCCAAGCCTCATTAGTGGAGAAATTTGTCCCTTTTGTTATATCCAGCTCTACCAGCCCAGTTGTAATGTAGCCTCCATTGATAGTGCCATGGTGGGTGTGTGACTATGAAAACTGGATCATGTCAGGTTGTCTAGTGAGACCTCCAATGAGAGAAACAGCGCTATATGACCCTTGTGGATTTAGTACAGTGGACCCCCGCAAAACGATATTAATCCGTTCCTGAGAGCTCATTGTTATGCGAAATTATCGTTATGCGAATGAATTTTCCCCATAAGAAATAATGGAAATCAAATTAACCTGTGCAAGACACCCCAAAGTATGAAAAAAAAAATTTTACCACATGAAATATTAATTTTAATACACTCAAACTGAAAAAGACATGCACAGTTACATGACACTTACCTTTATTGAAGATCTGGTGATGATTGATGGGATGGGAGGAGGAGAGAGTTTTAGTTTTTAAAAGGGAAAATCCCTTCCCTTTAAAGACTTGAGGTGTGGGTTTTTTTCCCGGGGGGTTACCCCCCTTCTTTTTTTAAATCCCACTAGGACCAGCTTCAGAGTCACTGGACTTCTGTCGCACAACATATCTGCCATGAGGTCTGTACTCTCGTTTTTTAGATTTTCCCAAAGTGGTTCACAACATTGTCGTGAAAATAGTACCAGCACGGCTTGCAATAGCTGTGTTAGGGGGGGATTGTCATCAAAAAAGGTTTGCCTTTAAGCCACATTGCACAATTTCCTTAATCTTTGAATAGGCAACTTTCAATTCTCTCTCCCCTCCTCCGAAGCAGTTTCCTCAGGTGTGGCCTCTGTGATGAAGATGTTGCAGCTCATAGTGGTTAGTTCTTCTTTGTCCCCCTCCAAAAACTTTTCCCTCCCCCCACTAACCTCAACCCCAAGGTTTTTCCCCAATGACACAATGGATTCCTCAACGGGCATAGGATTCCAGGGTTCCCTCAACCCTTAAAAAACCCCTTTGGTTACACATTCGGGGCCACGTTTTTTCCCAAAGCGGTTTCAAGGCCTCTTTCACTCCCCCCCAAGCCTTACCTAAAAGGGTTTTACAAATTGAGGATATTAAGTGCTCCCCCAAAACTTCCTTAGATCAATTGAGTTTCTGAGGTCACTCAAAGCCCCTTTTAAACAGAGCTTTTTTGTACAGTTTTTTGAATTTGCAATAACCCGCTGGTCCTGGGCGCAGGAGAGGAGTGGGTTTTGGAGGCAAAAAACTTTACCTTTTTTGAAACTATGTCCCCACAAAGTCGCTCTGCCCCCTTTTAGGATTTTCCGGGCTTGCTAACACCCCGGGGCACTTAAGGTCTAATTTTTTTTCAGTTGGTAAATTTTTACATTGGGGGCAAAAGCTTGGGGTAACCAGTCATAGAAAATCCCTAGTGACCCATGCCTTACTGTTTGCCCTCCACAGAAAACACAAATTAGCCTTGAGGATTTTTTTGCCTGAACGCTCTGGGAGTTTCAGAGTGATCATAATAAGGGTTCACTTGGCAATCACCACTGCATTGGAACACAGAAAAAAGGGAAGCCTTTTTCATAGGCTTATGTCCCGGGGGTGCCTTTTCCCCTGGTAATGTAGGTCCTGTTGGCATTTTCTTCCAAAAAGGTCTGTTTCATTTACAATTAAACACTTGTTCGGGTTTTAGTCCTTCAATGTTTGTACTCCTTGAATTCCTGCACATTTTTTAGTGCTTTTTGGTCCCCAACTGGCGCCCACCATGCCCTTTTCACCTATGTTGCCACTACGCTTCTTAAATCTCTAAAAAAACCCTTTTTGGCCTTAAATTCCTAATATCATAGTTGCAGGCATTTTTTTAAATTTAAAAACCTCATGCAACTTCCTAACCTTTTCCTTTGTCACTTGAGAGATGCTTTTCCCCCCTATCTGTTTCTTTATCCCCCCAATAGGGGTCTTAAATCTTTTTCACTTGCGATCTGTTTCGAAAAAAACAGTTTAACCTTTGGCAAGAACAGCTTCCCTTATCGCTTTTTTTTGGGCACAATGTAGCGATGGTTGATTGGGGTTTTTCTATACAACGGCCGCCGGAGCACGATCCCCTTTCATAATTGGGAATGATTCTTTCTTCTCTTATAGTAATTTTCACCCCCTTTTTCCTGTGGGTTCATTAAAAATTTTTCCCATTCACTTTTTTAAAAAAAACAAAAAACCTTAATAATAAAACCAAACTTTTTTTTTTTTGTTCCCCTGGTGGTAAACAATGCCACGGGGAAAAGTGAGGGGGGGCTAGGCCCCCACATTGAGCGTGGTGAATAGGTTTTGGGGGGTTTTTTGCGGTATGCGGGGCAAAATCTTAGCGATAAAATGTTGGGTATCGGATTTAAGTTAGTGATCCAAAACGGTATGGGGGGGCCACTGTGTTAGTTTTGTTTATAATATGTTAAATAAAATAATCTGTTGACAAAAGCATCACAAAAGGGCTGCTGAAAATATGTTCTTGTGGTTTACCTCCCCCCTTGCTAGCTGAAAGATAAATGCAGAATTCATGTCACTAACCAAATTTTTCCCCCCGGAAAATACTACAATTCTGAAGTAAAGATTCTAGAACGGATGTTGATAAACTTGACGATTGCGGAAATAGTGACTGGCCCTCAACAAAAAGAGAAACTAAAACCTAACAAACCCCCGGGCCCCTGATGAACTGTTTGCAAGGGGGTTCAATAATAAAAAGAGGAATTAGCATACCTTTGGCTAATTTTTTTAACATATCAAAAAAACGGGCATAGTCCCTGAAAAGGGGAAAGGCAAATGAAATTCTATTTAAAAGGCAGGTCAGGCCCTTTTGGCTTCGAACTTGGGCCCAAAAAGCCTTCCTACATTGTGGGAAAGTTTTGGAATCAAAAATTGCCGAAGAATTCAACCCATTTGATAGGTACAGATTGTTTAAATGAATCTCAACAGGGTTTTAAAAAGGGGCGTTCCCCCTTTGGGAATTTCTAAAATTTTTCACAAGGTGTTTGAGGAGGTAGATCATGGAATGAATTGTATTGGTATATGGATTCAGTAAAAATTTTGATGGTTCCACATCAGAGGCTATTGGGAAAACTTAAGGGAAAAGGAAAAGGAGGGAAATTTTTTTTTCCCGGGGAGAGGAAGGCGACAAATAGACAGCGGATTTGATAAATGGGGGGAGAAATCAAATGGGGGCTCACAAGCGGTGTTCCTTAGGGGGCTGTTGGGCTCGTTGTTGTTTACAATTTTTCACAAAAGCATAGGTGAGGGAAAAAAAGTGACATGCAAATTTGTGATGCACAAAATAGGGCCGTCCAATTCATTCTAATGAGGAAACCCAGGCACTCAGGATATTTGAATAGACGTGCAAGGTTGGAAATGGCAGATGCAGTTTAAAATGATTAAAAAGCAAGGGTTTTAAATATTTGGGCAAAAAACCACAAAAAAAATAAACTAAATAAAGTAGATCTTAAACTATGTTGTAAAAAAATTTAGGAGTTTGGTTAGCTATCTAAAAAACCAAAACAACAGTGCATTAGTGTTTCATAAAGCTAAAAAAAATTCTTGGCTTATATCAGAAAGATAAAAATAGAAGTCCTCAGGTTTTTTCAACTTTTATTACCTTTGGTTGGCCTCTCAGACTAGCTGCTCAGTTCTGGTAAGATTCAGAATGGAAAAAAAATGCTCTGGAAAACGGGGGAAGGCAAAGATACCCCTGTATCAAATTCTTCCTAGAGGACAATGAGGGCCCTGAATCGCACTCTCTCGAAGGCGTAAATTAGGGGGGTTGATCGGGTGTTAAAGGGAAAAACGGGAAATAAAAAAAGGGGGTTTAAAAAGCATGCTGAAATTTTCCAGCCAAGCGGCCACAGCATTTGGTTTCAATTGAAAAATTCAGTTTCAAAAGGGATATAAAACACGGGGTTTGGAACAAGTTGGGGATAGTGGAACGACTCCCGAGAAAAGTTATTGAGGCTAAAAGTTTTGTATTTTAAAAATAGGTTAGATAAATACATGAGGGGGTGTGGGGGGGTGTGGTTGGACCTGCCAGTTGTCTGCGGGGTCTGGTGCCATGTTTCCTTGAGGGGAGGTGACCGATGGGGGGGGTCTTTGGGGCTATTCCGGAGGGGGGGGTGGCGCTCCAAGGGGTAGTGGGCCCTGTTGAGTGTTCTCTTTTTTTTTCCTATACAAAAAAAAAAATGTAAAACTTTCCCTACAAATAAAATTTTTTTAAAACGAAACAGGGACATTTTTTTACATACACAAAAAATCTCATGCATACGGGAAATGCAATTACAGCCTCTTCTACTTAATGATGGATTTGTTTAAGCCCATTTTGGGTAAATAATGTCGAAAAAGGGGGACCCTACTATAAGGGTGTGGTTTGTTTAAACATTTTTTGAATTTTTTTTAATTCACCTTTGAACCATTTATTGCATTTCAGATTTTTTAAAAGTTTATACAGTGTGTACTGTATATTGTAATAAAAAGATAGAGGAAAACACTCTAATATAAATTACTAAATTTCCTGGTCAGAGAGCCATTAATCCACCGATGTAAAGGTAAATCACTAAATGAAGAGAGGGTTACGAGGATTCACTCCATATAACCAAGTTCCCTTTCGCCCCTACCTCCCTTTCCCTTTCCCTTTCCTCAAATCCCCACCAGTTTTTAATGAGCAGGGAACTCCTCTCCCCTCCCCCTCATCTTTTTAGGATTTTATATTGGGGGGAAAGATTGCATCTGTTATCATCCGGGGGGTTTTGTTTCTGTGAGTTTATTATTCGGGGGATGGTCCTGATTTTTTCATGCCACCCCTTTCCTTATTTGTTATTCCATTCTTTGTATACCCCACCTTAAA